TGCTTTCCCTCTTTATTCGGTGTCGTTTTTGCAAAAGATTAACCAAAGTGTGTTGAGTCGATTCATTAGAGTTGTTGTGATCCTCTGCAATCTCTCTGCTGCCAACATGACGGTACTGTTTCTTTAACTTTTTCATGAAGCAAGTTTTCGTTGACGTCACGACGTTCACTAAATACTTTGTGCTCCTCAAACAAAGTATGATAAAGTGTATTCCCCAAAACACTACTGCAATACTTTCAAGGATTCCATGACCATGATTTCAGTGAAAATACAAAATTTTAAGCAAGCTAACTTACTAGAACGATTACCGCTTTTATGAGCCCACGGAACGAAGGTCTACATCTTTATTGGTCCGAGTTGGACAACAGATTTGGCACTAGAAAAAAGTCTGTGGTATATTGAAGTGTATGTACTTTATAACTTTTTCAAAACACTCTGACAGATCATCGATAAAAATATTTTAGAACGAGTTTCCAGTCCTTAAAAGTCCAGAAGTCGTTTAGAGGATTATGTTCAACCCCTTAGTCCTTTTATTGTTGAAAGGTTGCTTTACATTGTTTAGAACCAAACAAAAGACACATAATGCTGTTAGCAACTTAAGCAAAACATCAGCAATAAAATAAAACTGGATTGTTAGTAGCGAATAGACTCTTTAAAACTAAGTTCTCCTAACTGTGTACTTTATAATCTGAGATAGTGAATGTGGCGACTAAATTTTAAGCGAAAATCGTTTGTGTACAAACAATTTGAAATTTAATTGGCTTTTTAACAACTACTTAAAGTATGTCAGAAGGAGGAAACTTTCACAATTGACCGACACTATAAATCCAACATTTAAGAACGCACACATTCGGTTTAATTAACTTTGGTGCGTTGTTGAAATTCTCATTCGCCTGGCCGAGCGCCTCTGGTTCCTAATAAACCGCAACTGCGACGCGTTGCACACACTTGGCATAATTAATTTCCATTTCTTGCCGTTGCACGCCTGACCGACTCGTGATTATGGAAGTTTCGGTTGTAACTGCTGTCATTTGTCTTCACTAATACGCTGTTATGACTTGTCAAAAGAATTTTCCAACTAGAATCTCGTTGGATGACGGCACTTAGGGAGTGACTCAATAAAATGTCAATTGTGCTCTCATGTCATGATGTCCGTTATCTACGGTTCGCGTTTATGTCGAAGCAGTGAGTGAAAAGTTCAAGAGCGACATCTGCAAGTTTCTTAAATAAATAATGCAAATAATCCGTAAATTTAAATAATTCTAATTTATATTTTTGGCACATTCGTTAAAGAGCATTTGGTAGGCTAGTAGAGAAGGCAGTCGCAAAGGTCAGGCTTGTTTGTCTTCTGAAAATTGTAATTGAAACTTAGTATATGGTAATGTATATATATATAATATAATATATATATATGTATATAATATAATATTTATATATATATAATATAATATATATATTCCTCATTGAATCAATGTGAGCAGAGATAAAAACGAAGCGTTTTGTTCAGTTAGAATCTTAGGGGCTTTTGAATATAGCATATATGTGTGTGTGTGCAGCTAAATCGCTCAGCTTAAGTTTCCGTTATGCTCCTGATGGTTAATTATGCGTTATGATATAGTATTTCCCACGAGATAGCTAGATGATTGAATTGCAGTTTGCCAACTTTTTATCGCTTGGGTGAGGTGTTGAATTACCACTGCTCCCTTGTATTGTTTGTCGCTTTGCGTGCGAAGCATAAAATTTTCGTTTTTGGGCGAAATAAGTTTATGTACTCGTATTTATGTATTGTAGCTCTGCGTCTAAGTATATAAGAGATATATATTTGTTGCCAATTTATTTTGTATTATGGCTTAAGTTTCGCTATTAATTATATAGACACTCTCGCGTGGACAGTTGTATATGTTATGCTATGTGTGTGTTAAGTAATTTGATAACAGACATATGTACATATATATAATCAGTGAGTGTATTAACCTCTATATACATAGTAATTTCCCGTCTGACATTATTTTAAAACAAGTAAGGAAGTTCTAAGTTCGGTTATAACCGAACATTTTATATCTCGGAAAATTACTTTACCGCTTGTCACCCGATTTCATCCATTTTCACACTGTCGATAGAAGTGCTAAAAATATTTATTCTCCGTAAATTTTGTTATTGTAGCTTTAGTGGCTTAAAAGATATGAATATTAAACCTATTAAGTGGCGGAACCACGCCCACTTTTTGAAAAAAATTAATTGCCCCTCTCTCTAATATGATCCTGTTTACAGTTTTTTATCTTATTGTGGAGCTTAGTTATGGCAATTTATTTGTTTTTGATTAATTGCATTTTGTGGGCGTGCCAGTGGTCTGATTACTCCCACCTGCAATACCAACCGTTTTACGGTACCCAGAAACATGTGTACCAAGTTTCATGAAGATATCTAAATTCTTACTCAAGTTACAGCTTGCACGGACGGACGGACGGACGGACCAACGGACAGACAGTCACCCGGATTTAAACTCGTCTCTTTATCCTGATCATTTATATATACATTACCCTATATTTAACTCGATTAGTTTTAGGGGATACAAACAACCGTTTGGTGACGAAAACTATTATACTCTGTAGCAACATATTGCGAGAGTATAATTAAAGCACTCGGTTTCCCGTCTCAAGAACGCACAAAATTATGAGATTTTGATTTGGAAAATTAAAAATATCTATTTTTTCAATTAGAATATCATTCAGCTCGAAGTACTTTCCACATGGGTGAGCTATACCTGTTTGTAAGTGATTTTGATTCGACATTAAAAGGATGTAAAGAAGTCTTTGAATAGTACAAAATACGTATACTAATGTTTTCCATCAAATCATTATCAAGCTGTTCTTTATTTACATATTTGTTTTACATATTTGTTAAAATTTTTTAACTATACATTTAAAAAAAAAGTGTGAGGAATAAGAAGATATCTTAATTACATGTAATTATACATTGCTCTTGTCAATTTATCTTTTCCTCTCTCTTTGGCAGATATTGCAAATCTAGAACTCAAAGAGAGTTTACTAAACTTACTTCGAAATTTAATTTGTGGCAGAAGAATTGGCATAGGGTGGCCCAAACGCTACATTTCTGTTCTCTGACAACATCTGCTTGTCAAATTGTAATCCATGATAAGATATTCAAGAGATGAAGCATGGCTACCAATGTCTGCCTCATCAAGTAATCAAAATAAATAATTATATACGTAGGTAGATTAGGGTGGTTCTTAAAATAAATTCAACTATTTTAAAATCGACGTTGGGGTATCAAGTATAACATCACACTAAAATTTAAGGATCACCCTTATATAAATGTGAATATAATACCAATTTCGCGCATAAAACATTTAAGTTCCACAACTCCCTGCAGTTTCTCGGCATTAAGGCACACACGTGTTGTATTCCAAAATGCATAACACGATATTATTGGTGTATTCGACGTCAGCGCCGTTGATATTGTCATAATTGCCACTGCCAGCAATAATATTTTCTTGTCTACTCAATTAAATTAAGAGTACAACTTGTTAAGTTCGTTATTTGTTTCTACGTTTTCGTTGCTTACTTGACGCGAACTCAATCATAATAAGTCTTATTACATTATATTACCGTTCGGCGTTGGTGCTGCGCGAAATCAGCTTTTTTCAGAACATGTTCGCATAAGACCACACATACATGCGTACATATGTACTTATTCAGGTCTGTGGAGCATGAAATTAGTTTTGTTCGTGTTGATTATATTTATGTTTCAAACAATAAGGAATTCTGTCTGAAACTTCACATCGAGTTTTATTATTTGCTTGAAACTTTAGTTTGAAACTTACAAAAATTCAGGAATCGCAGAATTTTCAATTGTAAGAAGTCGCACAGGCAATGAGGAATTCAGTTGAGAATCAACTCGGGAAAAATAGTCTCAATAAATATGTACATACGTTAATATGGCAAAAATAAAAGAATTTTTCTCATACTAACGATGAAATCTTGAGCGTCGAATCATAAAAAAACGCATTTTAGCTTTCAAAAATCCGTCTTAAACTCTTGAAAACAAAGTTGCGAGTAATTATATTAATAGCTTAAGCGTATAACATAGGTATGAGCCGATATAGGCAAATTAGACATGGAAATACTTCTTTCGTTGCAGCTTTCAAACGCACGGTCATTGCAAGGTGTTCAAGCTAATGTAGTAGATTTCGAGATCTCGCGCGGCCGATCTCTAATATATATTAGACTCGCAGGTCGAAGTTATAAGCTTCTTTCAAAAGGCTTAGACATTTTTGGGATATTGATAGCTTCGCAGTATGTTAACTCCAAAATGTAAAAGTAATAGAGACATCGGGTAATCCTTATATAAGAAACTAAGCCAATCACTGGTAGCACACACCACTCGAGGGCTTCGTTAAAAAAAAGAAAAGTAAAATATACATGGAAGTTACAAATCCAACATTTATTATATACGAATTATGAAAAGTATGTATACGAGTATATCACAACTCGATAGCGCTGCTAAAGCTGAAATAATTGAAGAAAATGGCTTGAATATTTGCGCGTGTGTCGATACAGCGGGATCACCGGTCGATGTGAAAAAGGGGCTGTCTGTTTTGAGGACAAAGGTTTTCGCTCGTTGGGTGGTGAAGACTTATGGTGAGTTGGTATCCTACGTGTATTGGTGTGTGCTGTTGATGTATACTGTTGCTTCCAGGTGTGGTGTGTGTGCCAGTGTTGCGTTGTGTGTGGTGTATTGTAGTAGAAATTCAAACAGGACCCTCTGAGCCAAATAAGAGCTCTGCACTCTGTCCAATTGGTCTTATTTTATCAACACAAAAGTATAGTTGACTTGGGAATATCGTAGTAGAGTTATCATGTCGCCACTGCTGGACTATCTTAATTTTGTGGGACTGAGAGCTATTATATCCTCCAACCCATTGAAATGTATTTTTTATAATTTAATATTCATGGCATCTTTTCTAATGTTAATTGCAGTTAGTTGGAGGAAACGGAAACGAGTATCACTTCAAGCACAGGACATTGCCACACGCGCGCACAAGACGAAGTATCACACACACGCGACTCTTGAAGAGCCATCCATTGGTGAGTAAAAGTTGTTAAACTAAGATATAAACTTCATAAATAGTGCGACGGTGTAAGGTATATTCGCATTAAGTTTACACGCAAGACTTTAGAGTCTAAATACAGTTGTTGTTGGAGTGAAGTTCCAAGAAACATGTGGTTGTCAAGTTGATAGTTCAGATGCAAATTCGCTAACGGAACCGAGTATGAATGTTATTTTTTTATACTCTAAAACTTAATGCGAATTCATGCTTGAAGCTTTTTTTTAAATGTCTCGGCTCAAAAACGTGGATTTAGTTGGCATTTGCCTATGATCTCCAAGTATGCTCTAAACTTTGGGGGAAGTGCAGATAGTCTACTTGTATATGTCCACATGTACACTATTGCATATTTCAGCTGATTTCAATATACCTGCATATTAATCAAATTTCATTGAACCACAGGCAATGAAATGACGGTTGAATTGGATAATACAATTCGAATACAAGGAAATTGCATTCAGTAACAGTACATTGAAGTGAGAACTTGCCCACACGTAGACAGCCAGTTGTACGAAAAACGAGAAAGGCAACGCAAATGCGAATGTAAATACAGATTGCTAGTCGATTAATTCTGCGGTAGTTATACGCCCATACAACCAGCAATCATGCATCAATCGGTGAACCATCGCAGACGTAGGATTTGCATGCTTCCGGCATGCTTTGCGTGTGGGTGTACAAATGCTCAAAAGGCTTACGGCGAGCTTATTATTTCTATTTTAGCAAGAGTCAACTTGTAGTTGTGCATTGTGGTTTTTGTGCGAAACGCAATTCGTGAACACGGAGAGAATTGAAGTCAAAAGTTTTGGTTTACTCACATATTGATTGTTATATATTTGAAATCGATATTGGTGCCAATTTGGCTTAAGCGGTAATGATTACTAGTCGGTGCAATAAGCGCAGATGTCATAGATAAGACTCTAACGCTTAAACCGAGATTTGCGTGTTTAAATGCATGAGTAAAAATGTGACACTTTTTTTGGACAGCGTTGAGACTTGAGAGGGAGTTTGTTTGGTGAAATCAGTGTCGCTTACATATATATATACCATATATATATGCGACTAAATAACTTGCAGAAATTCTTCGAATATTTGTGTGCTTGTTTACATTGTAGAAGTATAAAAAACAAATGTACACAAGCTGTAAAAATTCAGTCAGTGTCTAAACTGCGGATTGTCAAGAAATGTCTATAAACAGAAAAACTTATTGAACATTGTTAAACATGGAAGATATTAGAAGCAGTCTATGAAAATTAAACTAGTTCAAAATGTAATATTTTAATGATGATAGGGTTAATCGGGTGTGAAACATCAGTAGTTAAAGCAAAGAATGAAATGAAAAGCACTAACACTGTCCAAATAGGTCGTTTATACTTTCACTTCTGGATAATAAATGGTGATGCAATGTTTGTTTTTTTTTTCAATTTTCAATACTTGATTATTGGCTCATTGTCCAAACCTTTTCCACGTATTTACGTTCAGGTTCATACGGCAGTTCAACAGCCGGGTTTCAAGCGCGTTAAACGTGGTCTGCGACCGGCGATTCCCGCTATTCATGGCCTCCCATTCGAGTCCACCTTTGGCGCAAAACCGATTGGACTTGAACCAAGTGATCCGTATTTCCCCTTGCAATGGTATTTGAAAAACACGGGTCAAAATGGTGGCAAAATGCGTTTGGATCTCAATGTGCAAGCCGCTTGGGATCAAGGTATAACCGGCAAAAATGTGACGACCGCAATAATGGACGACGGTGAGTGTAGACAACAGACTAAAACTGGTTTTTTTATTTAATGTTCTTATTATTTTTTTCTTGTAGGTGTGGACTACATGCATCCCGACTTGAAATTAAACTATGTAAGTGTTATACATATCTATATATAATACTTTTTAATTTTTAGCTAATAAACGTTTTATTTTGGTTTATTAAATTTGAGTGTAAAAGTTAAGGGAACCATTGAAAAGCTTGCAATACCAACCAAATAACGTTATTTATTAACGGGAAAGAGCGTAAACAAAGTTGTTCATTGCCGCTTTTACACACAACGAACCGACCATATTATGCGAAATGTTTATTTTTGTCGAAATCCATTAGCTCGTTGGACGCAGAGCACCTTCGCCATTGGTTATTTTTAGAACATTCTATGCTCATAGTCACTCACACATACCCACTTTACATACCTAAAAACTAATATACTCGCATATACCTACCTATACTCTATACTTGTAAGGGTACGAATGTTTACGAGTCACGCATATCAAGTAGCTGCCTTTTAAATTGTTGTGACAATGCACTTTTGACTGTGTTTACTTAAGAGCTCATTACAGTTTTGAATATTTAACCTTTCACCTTCTAGGGCAGCCTTCACAACTGCTCTGTTGGAGTGTTTGGTGTTGTCGACATTAAAATGCGGGCAAATGGCAGTGTACTGCTATGTGACACGTGAGGCCATTTCGTGAGTGACGGCGGAGCCAAAGTGCACATTTCTTCATGTTTATGCTAAATTTTTCACATTAATTATTTGCACGCAACTGTTCGCAAAATATTCGCGCTAGCTTCTTTTTTCAGTTAGGCAACTGGTAATTTTCATATGAGGAATGGCCACTATTTTGAATAAAAGTGAAACGTATTTTTCTGTTTGTGCTGAAGTACAGTAACGCTATTGAAAATATTTACCTATACCTCCCAAATGTCTCAATTACCTTTCATTGGGTATTAATATTGTGATTTTCATTATCAAAAATCTTGTTAAAAAAATCTTGACCCTGTATATTTTGATGCACATACTGTTATATATCATTACTTTTTATAGTTCATTTAGTAGAAAATTTTCAGCAGCTGGCAACCCTTCTAAAACATATTTTGCAACAACATAATTTGTTCTTCTTTAAAAGTCCTTGTAAGTTACCATAACGTAATAGTTCATTTCTGTTAACAATTTTAGTGAAATAAAATTTTTTAACAGTTGGCTACTCTCTACCCAAAATATTTTTAACTGCAAATCTTTCTTGCGTTAATACCCATATTGTGCTTTAATTTTATTTCTTTTTTTTAATTTTAAACAGCTGGCAAGTTTAGAAGTTTTATCAGAATGAATTAAATAGGCTATGCCTGACCTATTGCGTTATGTATACTGCGGCTGTGACGCTATTTCATTACGCTACATAATTTCGTTCTTTTTTTCGTCATTCGACCGCCACTATCACCCAGCTTGAAGAAGATTTACTTAAAAAATTATACCATGCCCAGCAATAGTGTTTTATTTCAACAAAATTTCATAAGTATCTATAAAATTATTTAATCGTGTTTTTGAGTACATACTTATATACACATATGCAGCTTGTATGTATTGTACCCGAAATGTTAGACATTGTATCCGAAACTTTTTGAAACCTTTTTAGTGTTGGCAAAGTGAAAAAGGCAACCTTTAAGTTTCAGTATCTTATAAGCAAATATATTTTATGAGATTAAAACAATCAGCAAATTAACAGCATTAAAATCTTTTTAGCCGGAAAAAGGTTACTTGCCAAATGCAAATTTAATTAACCGCATACATTTTTGAGTACACTCGCGTAAATGGAAATTTACAGTTTTACGAGTTAAAAAAATATGAGTGGAATTTTTTCTGACTGTCAGAACTTCTTATCAGCTTTAAAGTTTTTTTCTTTTTTAATAAATGTTATTTAATTTATCTGGCATTCAACTCATTTTTTTAGAACAAATTCAACAGATAATAAAAATATAATTAGAAAAGGATTGCGTATTCTCTCTATTATGTTATGTCACATAATGCGGCTTAGTGTTTTTTTTATAAGAATTATATTATATTTACATATATGCATATAAAGTAATTAAAGCTTTAGAAAAAATATTTTTTTAAACGAAACTTTATAATATTTCCTTTCAGAATGCCGAGGCTAGCTATGACTTCAGCAGCAATGATCCCTTCCCCTATCCGCGTTATACCGATGACTGGTTCAATAGGTGAGCTAATCTCTTCGTAAGCCTTATGGGAGCTTTTATGTACACAAATTAACTTGTATATACACATATTATTGCTGTTACATGCTCTAATATGAAATATTGCGCAATGATGTTCAGCACACGTAAATACTGCAGACACACAGTTTATGTCACTTTTATGCTACTCCAATGAATGTCCACCTGTAAAATATTCATACTTTTAAGATGCGCTCTTGGCGTTTATTTTCTCCCCTTTGGTCGACTACTATTCGGGTATTATCACATTTGTTTAATTTCGTCTTCTCCCTTTTTTCTCTTATAGTCATGGCACTCGTTGCGCTGGCGAAGTGGCTGCTGCCAGAGATAACGGTATATGCGGCGTTGGCGTGGCTTATGACAGTAAAATTGCAGGTAAGCTTCGTTTTTCTGTCACACTTACACATACTTGTATATTGTGTATTGGCCTTAAGGAAAATGGATAACGTGTTGCGAAAACTTTTATTCGCTTCGTAGACAGTGTGTCGTGAATATTATTGCATGTACCTATTGTACTATATACCATATAAACAAGCAAACGCAGCGTTCATTTACCGACACGTCAACTTTTTGGCAATCGTAAATGACATTTTGTAAAAAAAACGAACTCATTTTATTCCTTGTAAATTTTATCTTTATTTAGTTGTAAAATGACTGACCAAAATGTAGCAAAAGCAATTTTCATTCACATTTACTTAACTGCGAGTTACCGCATTAGTTAGAATACTTAGAGAATTTAAGCTAAGCGATTATTATAAAAACAAGAAAACACGTTAACTTCGGTTGCACCGAAGCTACAAAACCCTTCGCAAATACAAAATATTCGTTACAATAGCTTGATTCCGAACGTTCTGTTCGTACGGCAGCTGTGTGCTACAGTTATCTGATCTGTATCATTTCTTCGGAAATTGCATTGTTGCCTTAGATAATAACCCATGCCAAATTTTGTGAAAATATCTCGTAAAATAAAAAAGTTTTCTATGCCAGCGCTTGATTCCGATCGTTCAGTTTGTATGGCAGCTATATGCTATTGTAGTCCGATATCAGCGGTTCCGACAAATGAGTACCATCTTACGGAGAAAAGAACGTGTGCGAAATTTCAGATCAGTATTTCAAAAACTAAAGGACTTTATAGGGTCTCCGACGTTTCCTTCTGGTTGTTACAAATATCGTGGCAAACTTAATATACGCCGTTCAGGGTAAACAAATTTCAATATATTTTGGTGCTAATTTCGTTCAAAAATAAAATTAAATTGATGTTTGCGCTACAACCTGAGAACTATTCTGTTTATTCTGAGTATTGATATTAGAATTAGTACTAATATTATAGAAAAGGTCAATTAACACTAAACCCCTTACAGTGGCTCCATCAAATAGTCGTACAATACTTTTTTTGAGAAAGGCATAATAATTTTATGCAGTATCTAGATTTGACTAGTGCCTTCCTTATGTTGCGAGAAATTTTCTATTGCCACTAGTCACATTAATCTGTCGAAAATAAAAATATGAAATTACTTTGAATTTGAAAAAAGTCGCCATTGAAAGCGTTTAGTGGCAATGTGGAAAAGGGGATATGGAGCTTAAAAGCTTGAAAGCGTTTTAAATCTGATTATGGCAAAATTTTCGGACACTAAAATGTAAAGTCCTTCGCAAATATTGTCACAGCTTTTAGCTTCCTGAAAGCACTAATTGCTTTACATAGCTATATGTATTACATATGTATGTGTATGTGGTATGTGGTCACGCATCTCCTTGACTCAATTTCACTTTTACATTCCGTAGGCATACGCATGCTGGATCAGCCGTACATGACCGACTTAATCGAGGCCAATTCAATGGGTCATGAACCTCATAAAATACATATTTACAGCGCATCCTGGGGACCCACCGACGATGGCAAAACCGTCGACGGACCGCGCAACGCCACCATGCGTGCCATAGTACAAGGCGTGAACGAGGTAAGTGAATTAATGAGTGGAGGCGGCTATAAAGGCATATATATGTATATATGTATGAGCTAAATCAATTTCTGCACTGCAACATGTTCATACATACAACCATACCGACAACTAAGTGAAACTTGTTACATTCGCTTAAAATCCCGAATATTACTCGACAAACATATGTATGTGTAAGCACTTACATATGTTCATATGCATTGCTATGTTTATACATGCGGCTTTCAACATCAGCCCATATGAGTGTATGTATGTATGTATATGTACTTATATTGTAAGCATATGGCATACGCCTAACTTCGTTAACATGTAATATGCGTTGTTCTCCCGCAGGGTCGCAATGGTTTGGGCAACATATATGTTTGGGCATCGGGCGACGGCGGCGAGGAGGACGATTGCAATTGCGATGGCTATGCGGCGTCTATGTGGACAATTTCCATTAACAGCGCCATTAACGATGGACAGAATGCACACTACGATGAGAGTTGTAGTTCAACGTTGGCTAGCACATTTAGTAATGGTGCCAAGGATCCCAACACTGGAGTGGCCACTACAGATTTATACGGCAAATGCACAACCACACATTCGGGCACTAGTGCGGCGGCACCGGAGGCAGCCGGGGTGTTTGCGCTCGCACTCGAGGCAAAGTAAGTATGACAGAATCAAGTGGTAATTTTACTAAGTACGCATTTGATGAAGAACTCGGCAAAATTGCTGTAAATATTATTTTAAATTCGGAAACGCCGCGGCGGTTCAACTAAATTAGTGCAATATGGAGTAGTGAGCACTTTTGATTTTCGTTGAAGCAGTGAGTTAAGTATTTAGATGCTCTAAGGGCTCATGCGATTGTCCTCAAAGGAAACAGATTTACACATCTTGTTTGAAGCTTTTTAAATTGAATTTCTCAATCATTTCTTTGGCTGCTTGGTGTTTTTTTTAAACTGTGGGTACAAAAAGAAGCAAATGCTTGTTAAAGTTTCTTATTTTGGTCAGTTCAAGAATCAAATCTCTAGACTTCTCTTTCTGTACTTATTACGAATATTCCCAAACATTGGTATCGAACAAATTTTTAAACATCGTTTCGAATTTTACCATATTTTTATGCCAAATTAAGATTAGTAGCGAAACGAGAAGCGGTCTTTAATTTCCAGCTGTCTCGTGAGCTTGCAATTTTTGTCGGGTTAGTTAGATTGTAAAATCCACCGACCCTATATTTTGTGGATTCATTCTACATATTGTACACATATTTTATTTAAGAGTTTCTTACTTCAAGCGGCAAACGTTTAACTTTGAGAGTCGTTGCCAATGGGGATCTTTCAATCGAGAACACAACCCTCTTAACTGAGTTTTCAAATAAAAATCGTTTAAATATTCCTCAAACTCAATGCTCATATGTATGTGTCTAATAGCTAATCATCGATATTTTCTGCCAAATCAACTGATTTCGATATACCTTCACTGACACCTCTCAGAAACAAATCACAAGCAAGAAAAACGGTAATAAGTATAGGGTTGCGTAAACCTATTTTGGGGTACATATTTTGGAACAAAAACATGGATGGATGTTTTCCAGAAATGGGCGCGTGCGGTTTAGTAGGACTGTCTTTGTATACTCAAAAATATATGGGTTCAGTGTTTAAGCATGGGTTTTGTCGGAATTAATCGAAAAATATAACAAATAATATTCGGCAATTATTTCTTATTTCCAGTCCATCGCTCACATGGCGAGACATACAGCATTTGACAGTGTTGACTTCCAAGCGTAATTCACTATTCGACGCTAAGAATCGCTTCCACTGGACTATGAATGGTGTGGGTCTGGAATTCAATCACCTCTTTGGCTTTGGAGTTTTGGACGCAGGCGCTATGGTGACCTTGTCAAAGGAATGGCGCTCAGTGCCGGCGCGGTATCACTGCGAAGCTGGCGAAATTGTAGAACCACAGTGAGTAAAAATAGTATTGCATTTGTGTTAAATATATCTTTTTATTTAATATATATTTTTATTTTAGGCCCATTTATACCGGGCGATCAATGTTTCTGGAAATAAAAACCGACTCTTGCAAAGGCACTGACACCGAGGTGAATTATTTGGAGCATGTGCAGGCGGTGATCTCCGCCAATGCTACGAGACGAGGAGACTTGGAGCTATTCCTCACTTCGCCGATGGGTACTAGGTGAGCTATTGTAACTAGCGAGTGGCTTGGTCCAAAAAAAAAAAATTGTTATAATTTTTATTATGTTTTTATTATTAAATAAATTTTTTTATATTTTATATACTTTCATTGCAGATCAATGATATTATCACGTCGCGCCAATGACGATGACCATCGTGATGGCTTCACAAAATGGCCGTTCATGACCACACACTCATGGGGCGAGTATCCACACGGCACGTGGAAATTGGAGGTACGCAATGACGTTCCCTCTTAATCTTGTTTATAAATATAATTTTTTATATACAAATGTTTGCATTTATAGGCACGTTTCAATTCACCGCAACCACGCTCCGGCTGGCTCATTGAATGGTCGCTTGTGCTGCACGGTACCAAAGAGGCGCCCTATCGCACACTTTCACCCGCTTCGCCGCACTCCAAGTTGGCCATCGTGAAAAAGGCGCACGAGGACCGCAAGATGAAGTAGACAGGTCAACTAACGAAAAGCGAAAAATTCATTAGAATTTATTAAAGCAAAAATCCATATGAGTGGGGATGATGATCAGGGGCGAAATAAAGCAGAGTAAACAAAATGAGAAATGTGTGGTTACAAGAAGAGCCGAAAGCTAATACAGGTGGCCAGGCCGCAAACCAGAGTTTCAATAGAAAAGCAAATACAATTTTTGAGTTGTCAAACACATAACAAAAACAAAAACAACACACACTTCTTTAACAAAGCAATGAAATCAATAAATTTGAGCAACAACAACTGGCGTGAAAGATTCGAGTGAGCAACTTGCTGCAGGAAATGAGTGCGAGCAATTTTGTTTAGGAAATTCTTCTCTTTACAATTTTTTTGAAAAATTTATAATATTTTCTTAAATTTGTACTGAAAAGTGTGCAGCAATTTTTATTTATTTTTAAAAGAAATAAATTCTATAAATATATTTATGTATATATAGGCAATTTCACCGTTTTATGTAAATGACCAAACTTTTTGATCTTTGAAAATGTGATTTTAAATAAATACCTGCATACATACTTGTAGTGCTTACATTATATGTTTAATATTTTCTTTCAATAAAATATATTTGTTTATTACTGCAAAAGACTTCTATGCATAATTGTCAATGCGATAGCGCACTTACAACGCACATGAAGCCTAAACACATTATATTAACATAAAAAAATATTTTTGATCATATACATACAAATTTATTGTAATTACAAAAAAAAAATGTTTTTTAAATAAAACTTTTTTTTTATATTTTTTTAAAGTATTTTTTTATTTTTAAACATTTAATTTATTTAAAAAAAATTATTATAAAAAATTAAATGAAATTAAACAAAAATATATATGTACATAAATATACAACACGTATTAAAAAACTTTAATTTTTATATTTAAAAATTTTTATTTTTACTGCTTGTCGTTTTATTTAATGAAAAAGTAAAAAAAAAATTATTTAAATGTAATTGAAATTAAAACAAAATATAGTTTAACATTCATATATTACACGAATTAAAGAAATGTTATTAGAAAAATATAAAAAAAGTATGTTTCATTATGTTAAAAATGTTTTTATATTTTGAAACTTTTATTTTTACTGTTTGCCGTTTAAATTTATTAAATAATAATAACTATTAAAAAGTATATGAAATTAAAATATATATAATTTTTAAAATAAAAAAATGAAGAAATATAATTTTTTCTATAATTTTTTATGTATCAACATTTTTATGTTTACTGTTTGCCGTTGAATTTATTTAAAAAAATATTAAAAATCTAAACCAATTAAATTTGCACATACATATATTTTTTAATACACATATTTTATAACATAATGAAACGTATATCCCTTTTATATACATATAAACCCTAGTGTCTATACAATACCACACTATTATATATTTTTTTAACTTTTTAAAAGTGACCAAATACGCGCATTAAATGTTGTTTTAGCACACTGTCTCATCTTAATCTTACTAACAGTATATTCAGCAAACATAATACACATAACTGCATATATGTATATGTGTTCTTCCACACAGAGTGTATTTAAATATGTAAGAAAGTTAACTAAATTGTATTGTTAATTAAATATAAATAAAAAAAATTTTAACAAAATTCACTCACAAAGCCATATATGTATGTATACTGAAAACCCTTCCGAAAGAATTGACTTTTAATAAAATGCGTAAAAAATAATTTTAAAAACAAAGTACTGTCATAAAAATGTAATATAACTATATAAATATATATATAATATATATATACATATGAACGCAACTATCTAAATGCCTAAATAAATATATATGTACATCTGAATTAACAAATTAATTAAACTTTCATACTTTATCTTGAGGCCATTTAAGATATCCTAGCTGTAACTATATACATATACATATTTACATATATACAAGTTAAGTTTTTATTTTATGGCTGAAACTTCCTCTCCAACTATTTGTTAATATATATGTATATGAACTCCAACTGTAAACATATATAAACATTCTATACCTATACATACATATATACATATACTTATATATAATATACGTACATACATATATGTATACATAACTATAAATGATGTGTGTTGAAGGGAAACACTCATTTAGTGACAAAGTACTGTACTTAAATAATTATATAAACACATATACATACATATGTACATGTGAAATGTGAAACGAGTAGAGAGTATATATATTTAGTTGAATTTTATGTAGAGTTTAGCGATTAGCTTGTTGAAAAATGCAAAGTGTAATGAATGTCTTCAGCACAGTGGGGCAAAATGTGATGCTCACGGTACAAAGTGCAAAATATAAAGAGAAAAAAAATAACAAAAAATCTATTCGAAAAAGCTAAATAATATATATAAATAATGTTTGCCCAGGTCATTGTACAATTTTCACGTTTTTTTTTTTTTGCTGAAACTGCCAAGCCTACATTTTTCGTTCACATTTTCTAGCACGATTTGATTTCTTTCGGGGGCCAAAAACAAACTATTTTCCAAATTTGTATGCTACAATTTTCGCGTTTATGCAATTCTTCTTTAGAAAAAAAAAAAAAACAATAAAAACGTTTTTTTGTAAGTGTGACGCCGGTGAACACGCTCATTGAGATTCTGTATGTCAAGTGTGGTGAACAGAAGTTGATGTTAATTGTTAAAGTTTGTGGATGACAGCATATACATACATACATAAAAATAATAAACCAATTGCACATGCACACATACATATGCAAACAGAGAAATAATATAAAATGAAAGAAAAATAGCAACAAATGTATATGCAATGTATGTAAAATGAAAATAAATGTTTATAAAAGTAAATAAATAAAGTGAGATATGTATACAACATAGTATATGTATATTTAAATATAATTAGAGATTGCAGCTGTATTATGTATTTGAAATGAAATGTGCAAGTAATAACTGTATAGAATTAAATAAGCTAAAACAGGCATACCTAAAATAATATTTACAGCATAAGTACATACATATATATTAATATACAGACACATACCTAAATATAATAATATAAAAATAATAATAATCAATATAATCCTTTGATGTTGTAGATACTATTTTAGTTAAAAAATACAAACATATATTTATTTGCAAGCATACCAATACATACGTAATATTTATTTCGATTGATTTCACCGAGCCACAAACACTCACACACACACATACACACATATACATACCTATACATAATATGTAGCAAGCGTACTCGTAGTTTAGTATGTTTAGTTGTTTTTTTTTTCGAATTCTAAATACATATTTACTAGGTTTTGTAAATAAATAAAAAGTTCTATTAATTATGGTATACTCATTGCAAATGGTTTCCACTACTTACAACTGCCTACCATATTTACTGCAACCCTTTTACACATACATGCATACATATGCGCACCGTGGGCCATGTACTTCCTTAAAGTACTGAAATGAACTTTTGTTCCATTAAAAGCAGCAAATATGGTATAAAAGTTATAGCTTGATTCGGCATTCTCTACGTGACACTCTGGTGATTGCAGTGCTATCCTTTATTCAGCTATTATTACCTTCAACTAAATAAGGGTTGAGCGTCGTCAAAAGTCTTGAATGAAGTTACAATATTACCGCGTAAAGTTACTCTTCCGCAAGTTTCAACAATTTCAAAAACGACAAATCAGATTAATCACTTATGGTAATTTGATGCAACGAATTGTCAAGCTTTCAAAGAATTTGTTCGGAGCTTGTATCGTTGCCTTGAACAATAATGCATGTCGAAATTCATGAAGATATCTTGTTAAATAAAAAAGTTTTCTATATAAGAACTTGATTTTGGTTCAATCAGTTTGTATGGCAGCTATGTATATAATATAATCGTCCGATATCAGCGATTCCGACGTGTGAACAGCTTCTTGGGAAGAGGAACATGGCTAAACTAGCTCAGCTCGTCACACTGATCTTTTATATAAATAATTTATAGGTTCTCTAGCGTTTCCTTCTGGGTGTTACAAACTCTGTGGCCAACTTAATAACCCTATTCACAGTATAAAAATTGTAGTTCTTCTAAGATATGTTATGACAAGGAATGGCATATATATCTTTCCTTATTGAATTCTTTCTGAAAACTTCTATGAAGCATCCTTACACCTTTCTTCACACAGAAACCACAATTCTTCGAGATAATTAAAATTTCGACAGTAATAAAACCCTCTGAACATCATCTGAGATAAACTACTCAGCCTTGAAACTTTAAAAATGCTATTTTTAAATGAAAAAGCTTTGAAAATGTAAAAAAGTTGTCACAGCGCCATCCAGCGGAAGTTTTATATAAACATGAATAGAAAAATAAAATTGCTCAATCCCAAACCAATAAATTAGCTAGAATATCCAAATTATTCCATTATGTGATTGAATTTGAAGCAAATTTTCTGTATACAACTCTAAAGTCAACCACTTAAAATACTCATACAAAAAATCGGATTCTTTTGGAATTTTGTAATGGAGGTTGTAAGTATTGATTTATTTCCGGTTTCATTAAATGCCAACTTATTATACTTATTTTTGTAACAGGGTGTAATTAGTAGTTGACTGCTTGCCATAATCAAAGCTGGAGCTTTCTCTAAAAGCTTTGAAAGTTCAATGTGTATATATCCAGCTAAAGCACGATGCGTCTACATTATGGAATGAAACAACAGAGAGAATGTGAAATAAGATAAAGTAACAAAACACAGGGTGTTAAAATTGTATAAATTTGCAGTTAGTTACTATCGCAGATGTTCACAAACAAATTGTATTCTTCGTTTAGCGCATTTTGTCTATTTCTTGATACAACATTTTTGGCGCACAAATAATATTTGTTAGCACAGTTATTCAGCTGTCGTCTTACCAGTACGATTTGAAGAATTTTTTAACATGTTTACTTCGTTTCTCAAAACCAACAAAAAGTATTTAAGTAAAATTAATTTTGAAGACTATTTGGAAAATAATATTTCACAAATGACTTTACTAATAATGAGCCAGATGAGCAGATTATTGGAAAACAATTAGTGCAGTAATTAATTTTCGAAAAATTTACAGAACCAACAACACACACAGCTGTATTTATGTCTGTGAGTAGGTTGTCGATAGAGTATATATGTATGCATGTATGCATGTACGTGTGCATGAGCTTTTGCACCTTAAATTCTATTATTTTCCGTCGGTGAAATACTTTCAGCATGCCTAAGATAACAACAACAAAACAATTATACAGACCAAACCTTTAAGCATTGGAAATGCAGGTCAAGCGCACCACTAACCGACCAACAACAACAGCAATAGCCGCCAAATGAATGGGAAGCAACAAGCGACAACGGAAATATTAAACGCAGCTACTGGCTCGATAATGGCCATAAGCGAGTGCGGGCGGAAGCGCGAGCGTATTGCGTGAAACGGAAGAAATAGCTTAGTTATGTGCGGGGCGTTGTCGCGATATCCGATGNGTTTGTCTGGCGGGCGGCACATGGTAGGGGTGGACGCGCTTTGGCCGCTGCTTACCTACACTCATAAATCATTTTGCCCACATGGATGATAAATTTTCATGCTAATTGTTTTTCAGTTCAGAGTTTGCAAGATATTTGTGTAATTCTAGGAGCAGCAACAGAACTTGTTCCTTTTTTGTGGCATCTGTTGTGGTTGTGTGCAAGTTTTTGCTTTCGCTGGCGTTTTTCTTTTCTTTAAGATTCCTGGTACGCGCTGCCACTTTGTACATGTAACCTTAAGTAAATGTAAGTAAATAAAAGCAACAAATGATTGTTTATATATGTATGTGCCTTCAGTAAATATAAAAAGTTCTTAAGAAGTAGATATTCGCTCGTTTTCTACGAATATTTATTCAAACTGGTTTGTATACAATTAAATTAACGTTTGGAACCATAAAAAAATCGGTATTTGGCATAAAAGTCATCCAGTCTACTTAGATATTAGCACTACAAAACAAAAAAAAAAAATAAAATAATAATAACAATACATACTTTTGCTCTGGATGTCGTAGCAAATTTTGATATTTTCAAGTGTCTAGACTACTGATTTATTCAGGCAAGTATTGAATGTGCTCTTGTTTTTACGTTTATTGTATATTTTTATATTTTGATTAATTATCGGCTTATTGGTGATACATTTTTTTCTTTTTATACCCTGAACAGGGTGTATTAAGTTTGCCACGATGTTTGTAATACCCAAAAGTCAAGTCAGCGTGACCAGCTAAGTGGATTTAGCAATGTCCGTCCGTCTGTCTGTATATATACTAGTCCATCAGTTTTTGAGATATCGATCTGAAATTTCGCACCCGTCCTTTTCTCATCAAGAATCTGCTTATTTGTAGGAACCGCCGATATCGGATCACTATAGCTGCCAAACAAACTGTACGATTGGTATGAAGTGCTTGTAATGAATGTTTCTAAAGGGTATTACAGTTTCGGTGCAACCGAAGTTAACGTTTTTTTTTCGTTTTATCTTGAAAACCACATCTCTAAAGAAACATCGTTTAGAGTAGGACATAATCACTCTTTATAAGATAATCTCTGTGCATGAAACATATTCTTTCGATCAACAAAATTAGCATTCCTTTAGAAGAATTTCCAATGTGGCTAGCTAACACTTACAAAATCTTAGATATCAAAAATAGTTTGCATAATTTTCATTATTTTTAGAAGCTTTGCTTGCAGTTGGTTGACAATTTCTGTGTTTAATTTTATTTTTTTTGTTAGCGAGTATTCTTTTCGTGCTCGCTCCCAAGACACCGGTAATATCAGTCAAACTAAAGAAAGAAAAGGTAATCACCGCTCGATCGTTAAGATGAAATGTTTATGAACCGACTGATATTCGTTTTCTATAAAAATTATTTTAAATTATTTAATTATCTAACACAATTTACTTAAGACTCGTTAGTCTGAAAAATAGTCTGAAATTCAGATAATTATTGGTAAAGTAAATGCGCATAAAAATGTTAAATATTTAAATGTGGTGAAGTAAGCATATCGGAATTTTTCTCAATAGCTTTCCCTGCCTCCAGGAATATATTAATATGCACTGATAAACTCCTTAGCATTCTTGTCTTATTTTAATTAAAATTGCTGTATATTAGCAAACGCTAATACATATGTATGCATGTACATATATATTCTATTTCTTACAAGCCTCAATACATTTATTCTCACTTTTCGATTATGCAAAGTTTCAGTGTTTCGCGAACTTAATATAAAATGGAAGAGCAAAATGCAAAGTTTTTGATTTATGTGCCATGTCGAGCTATCACAAAGCGTTATCTGGTTGGCGTTTGAACGCTTGCTGGCAGCGCCGTTGACACCGCTACGGTTTAAATGTCTCAAAGCGCAAATATCAACGCAATTGACAAGCGAAAATATGTCGTTGTTATGAACGGTGGCTTTGGGGCGCGGTTAGCTTGCGTCTTCGCAATCACAACACGCCAACAGCAGCATAGCTGCTTGTAGCATAGACGGCGGCAACAGGTTTTCATGTAACTAGCAACCTGGCGCTACGGCGCTACGTCGGTGACGCTGTTTAAGCCGATTTTGACGAAATGGCCGGCGTTGGCGGTGGCGTAGAGCAACTTTGACCGCCGCTCATGAATATTTGTTATCTTTAATGTTGTTTCTTTTCTTTTGTTTCATTTCGTTTCAATTAAAGTTTTCGCTACGGTAACTAGGTAAAAACGTTGCTCAAACAAGTTGAAAGGTGATAAACAAAAATTGTATTAAAGCAGCAAGCAAAATAAAGCGGGTTACTAGTAGTTATTAAGGAGGGCGTTATACTTGTAGACTTCATGTGACCTTTTGCACGCGTGTAGCATATCTACCAGTTTATTAATGATTTTTTAGTCCAGCATATATTTGTATTACCATCCTTTCTACTATTTGTGTGAGGAAACACGTGGATTTTGTAGTTACTGCGAGACTGCGGCATTGTGTATTATTTTATGGGGGTAATTGCATGTTGTCCACACTGTGTGTTGCTTGTGAAATATTCAGACACGACATTTCTGAGTGGTTCAACGCAGGTAACTCCTGAAGATTTGCTGATTTGCTTATGCAAAATAACAGGTCCTGAGGGAAAATTAATGAAAGTGTCTCTGGGTAGTTTTGGAATTCGGACATATTCGTGAATTTGGTGCTCAACGAGTAGGTGACGTCATTATGAAAATAATAATATATATTTTTTTAGTTAACACTCCGCTTTGTGCTTATTTATTTGGCGTCTAAAGATTATGAAAAACAAAACAATATATATATAACAGTTTTTCTTTGCTTTAGTTATATATTTCTAAAATACATAATTTAAAGT